TGCAAGGACACCTTATTTTGGTGTCGTCCATACATTTAGGATGAGTAATGGTAAATACAATCAATTGTTCAACTTCATTGACTAACTCATCATTTAACAACCTATCAAATAACTTAACATTCATCCATTACCGTACAAATCTTATTTTTTTAATGTCTACAAAAATTATACAACCTATGCAAACAATTTTTAATCAACATTCAAAAAAAAAAAAAATTCAGTGGAATCTCTCCTATAAATTAGATGTTTCTTGATTTTCAAAATAAAATACACAACATATGCAAATATTTTCAATTTATCAATAGCACACAAATATCAACCAACTATCAATTTGCAAAGACCAAAATCAACACTTGTCTCGAATAATCCATTGAAATTAAATCATGAACTCGTCCTCATAGCTCCATCTCAAAGCATCAAACCAACCTTATTTCTCCTTAATTCTTAGAGGTCTCGGACCCCTCGGGTTTGATACACTAGGAGGTATCTCAACACATTTCAACAATCATAAAATAAATAATTAAAGCATATAACTCCAATTCAAAGCAAATTTGAAATAAATTCTATTTTAAATAAACTTAAAAATGAATCAAAATTAACCTAGTTACATTTAAAATAATGATTAGTTATCCTAACAATAAAATCAAAATGTAACAAATTATTATTGTATAAGTTAATCAAAATATTCTTTTATCTAAAAAAAAATAGTTAAAGAAGTAAAACATTACTTCTATTGAGTTTTAGTTTTCTTTAATCTAATTTAATATTTTAGATAAAAAAAATAGTTTGCTTACTAAAATATTACTACTATTCTATTTTGATTATCTTTAATATAATTTAATATTTTAAAAAATTTTGATTTTTTTTTAATTGGTAATTATTTTTTAAAATATTATTAGGTGGTAAGTATGAACTCTAGTTTTATAATTTTTTTAAAAAAAACTAAAAACACGTACATGTATGTTTGATTAATTGCATTCACAAGAGTGTTCTACTATTTGGATGGTATACATATAATGAAATTTTTTTTTCAAATATATATGTACAAGAAAAACTCAATATTAACATTAATTAGATATATAGTTAATTTTACTCTCATATTTATAAGAAAATATAATTGATTTTCCAACATTGATGGTGAAAAACACAAAGTGGTTATTTCCACTTTTTTTTATCACTATTAAAAAATATTGATCATTTTTAAGATAAAATCAAGAAATATAATCTCAAGGCCTAAGAAAGAAGGTCAAGAAAATTTATTTCCTCTCTTTATTTTTTAAATTTGAATTTTAAGATAAAAATTTAGACGTCATGTTTTTAGAAGCATCAAGTCATTATGAAAAATATACATTATTATAATTTATTAGTTATTGTAAAATTGACATTTTTATGAATAATAATGAAAGAAATTATTAAATTTTCAAAATTTAATACCTTAAAATATTCCAAAATATCGATTGATACTAGACTATTGAGAATATTAAAATTAAAATCTAAAAAAATAAACCTAATTAAATTAACTTTAATAAAAAAATAACATAATTATTCAACAATGACCTAAATTCATTTAACACTAATTCAAATTAACACTAATTAATAATTATTAACATACTTTATTTGGTACATTAAATTAACCTACCTTAATTAATACTAATTTAGATTAATTAATTATATTAATAAATTCAAATTAACATAATTCATTTAAAACTAATTCAAATTAACCTAATTAATCAACTAATAACTCATTTAAATTAACCCTAATTAACTCTAATTTAAATTCAAATTAACATAATACAATTCATCCTAATTAAATTAACCTAATTAATCAACTAATAACTAATTTAAATTAACACTAATTAATTTTTTTTGAAATTAACCGAACTCAATTAGCACTAATTTGAATTAATTAATTAAATTAACAAAAAAATCTTAACAACTAACAAAACCAATGAATCAACTAATTAATCAAAACTAACCTAGCAATTAACACAAATAGCTAATGGGTATGAAAAAAAAATGAGAGAGAACTAACAAATGGGGTAAAGTAGAGGAGAGGAAGGAGAAGTATGAAACTCTCGGCTTTTTAGGGAGAGGTGCGCCGCATCGGTTGGAGTATGCTAGGGAGGGAGTGGAGTCGCCTTGTGTTGTTGTTTTAGGGTCGGGCAATCATCGGCGAGCAAGAGGAGGAGAGGGAAGAAGAAAAAGAAAATAGGGAACAGTTTCTACCGATTTAAGGATTAAAATTTTAAGACGGACATGATTTCATTGCTCATCCATCGCTAATTGGCAAGGAATTTAAGTGTCCATAGCTAATTTGAAATTCAAATTATTTTTAAAATTTTCAGAAATGATGAAAATTAGCGATGTAATACATTTCGTCGCTAATTTGCGATGGAACACGCTATTTCATTGCTAATCCGTCACTAATTAGCAAGGGATTTAAGTGTCCATCACTAATTCAAATTTTAAACTATCGATTTATTATCTAAAATTTTTAGAAATGGGATTTAGCGATGGAATTGCTATTCCCTCCCTAATTTTCCTCATAAATCCATCGCTATTTCATCGTCGGATTTGGCGCATATTATCCGTCTTTAAGATTCCGTCGCAATTCCATTTTCTAAACTTATTGGTTGTCATTCGGTCATAAAACCATCATTAAATAGCGATGATTTTCCGTCCGTCGCTAATTTTCGATGCTAATCGATCCGTAGTTCTCTTGTGGTTGTTGAAATAGTAGTTTGATATGGTACTAGAATTTTAATGATTAATCGGTCACGAATTTAAATCTCATTATCTTCATTTTCTCTTATAAATTCAAATCTCACCATCCCTTTTGTCTCTTATTAAAAAATAAATAATTAAGTATAAGGTATAGTGAACTTGTGTAAATTTCAAGCTTAAAAGACTCTCACTTGAGAGTGTGTATTAAAAAGCAATACAAAATCATTCGTAAAACCTTACCTAACAATTAAAATTTTTAAATTGAAATCATTCTTTGACATACATGACACCGTTAAAAAATAAATAATTAAGCGTAAGGTAGTGATGGATATGTGTAAATTTCAAACCGAAAGGATTTTGATTTGAAGAGTGTGTAAATAGTAATATAAAATCAATTTTGAAATCTCATTTAACAATTTAAGTTTTTTGGTTAAGATGATTCTTTGATATATAGGACAACCATCCGACTTATCTTCTTGTAAACGAAGATTAGTTACTCGTCATTTCAACCAGTTACTTTCAACAAATTATCTCAATCCAAAAGTTTAATTAAAACATCACCCAACAACATAAACTTTAGGGAAAAAAAAAAAGGAGTGAAGATCGGGAAATTCAAACTTTTAACAAGATAATCTCAATCTAAAAAATTAAATTGTTAGATGAAATTGAAAAATAATTTTATATTATTCTCTAACAATTACTTAATATACAAAATCTTATTCTATAAAAAATATAAATACAAATTCAAAATTAGGTATTTTAACGGATAATTTCGGTAATAATCCCAAATTACGTATTTTAACCGACACTTTCTGCAATAGTCCCCTTCAAGCGAATGAGACTTGCTTAAGAATTTGAGCTTGTCTCTTAGAAACTCAAAACGATCTCAGCTTAAAGGCTTGGTTAGAGAATTGGCACTTGGCCCTGCTATGATTCGGACTGCACTTTCAATTGCTTTTTTCCAACTAAATAAAGGACAATATACAAAAATCTCTAGAAATATTTAGTTATTGCATAAAAAACTGAATTTGTTGAGAAATAGATTGCCCCACTATTATAACACCGCAAAACTAGTGCTGTTGTCAGTGAAATTCCAAGTTCATCTGACAGTGCCTTTACCCAAACAGTAGATGTTGCACGTTTGGTACAGAATATTCCGTACCATCATTAAAAAAAAATGTAGTCTTTGGTTGCTAATCATTAAAAAAATGTAGTTCCTAGCATAGGTAAAAATTAGCAATTCAAGTCCTTAAAATAATAATAAAAAAAAACATATTTTTATTTTTCAATAATAGTCTTTGATGCTAATCTAATAGAAATTTTATAATATACAAAAAATAATTAGTGACATGTATAATAGTTATTTCTTAGGTTTACTTTGAAGAAAGAGATAGGTATACAAAAAGAGATAGAGAGAAATAGTAGAGAGAAAATAAAAAAATTTAAACGAACGTGAAAATTTTCTTATCACTTTCGATGAGTATAGATGTAATTTTTTTTTTTATCTATCTTTCTCCTTAAAGTGGATCTAATGAGTAATTATCGTACATATCACTAGCTACTCCTTGTGTATTATAAAATTTTTCGCTAATCTAGTATGGCAGAGTTAGAAAATCAACCAACTATTCAATAATTTGAAAAAACAAAATAATTGCAGAAGAGAATGGTTTCATTTGTGAGAATAAACAAAGAAAAAAAAGTGGTAGTTTAATTAAATTTTTTGTAACCACTATTTTTGACATAGATAATTTTTCTTTATGTAAGCATTTAATTAGTTGAGTTTTTCTTTATTATAAGGGATCGATAGGTTCGAATTCAAAAAAATTAAAAAACACTAAAGTCAAGTGAGTTCGAACTAACAATTACTGTAACCCAACAATTTAGTGCGGAAAATTTCTCCGAGGGCCCAACCGCGAAATCTTTAACTGAAACAAAAGAAAAGAATACCTTAAAGCAAATAAATTGAAAGAATCGCGCAAAGTCGCGCGACTCCAAAAATCATCGGTCGAATTGCTGAAGTCTTGCAAAACATGCTTTTGCAGCATGGGACCTTTCATCATCTCACACTCGTCGTGACAACAAATAAAAGGAACTTGCCTGGCGGGATCATGCATGTACTCTCTATGTACGCAGATATGTCTATATATATGTAAGTATTTGGGATGGGAATGCTTTCACCCAAGTTCTGATAGAGGGGATTTAATCAAAGGTTTCTAGTTGCATGATTTATAGATTTTGGGCCGAGATTAGTAAAGTCACTGGAGGACACCTAATTAATGGCGTCAAGCAAATGCCACCAGAAGCCATTTAACATGACGCATTCTGAAAATCATGAGGTATGAGGGTTTTGCTTTTGAAATTCTTTGTAATTAACATTGATTTTCTTACGTGGTGGTATTGAATATGATTCCAGAATAGAAGAATCAACAGAAAAATAAACAAGCTGAAAGTAGAGATGGCAGAGATAAGCGAGCAACAAGAATCTATCAAACAAGGGCAAAAGGAAATGAGAGAGAGGTTTGAAGCGATAGATTCAGAATGTAACCAACTCAAAAAGGAGACCGAACAAATATCTCACGCGAGCGAGAACGTGCAACTTCGTCTCGATATCATGCTTAATATCTTGAAGGCACAACAAGAGATCGAATGACTTTGCAAAAGCTGCCGATCTTACTTGCTCTCTCTGGTTGATCTAAGTTTCTTCTCCTGTATAGTTCGTTTATTCCATTTTTCAAGTAAAAAGGAACACTACGACGTGATATGGCACCATGTCATCCATATTTCTTTCAACAACTTCAAATAGTATTAATATTGCACCATTCATAATTAAGGTTGTAAATCTTTCAGACACAGAAGTTAAGGCTGTCTATAATATTATATGAACTTTTTTCGAATAATTATGTGAACTAATATTAGTTTTTTGGTTTTTTTTTCTTTCATTTGTTGACATGTGAATTAATGAAAGATATAGTAGCAGGCTAGCAGCACTTGTTAAAGGAAAACAAACAAACGGAGACTGGCCAATTGTGACAGAAGAAAAAACCGAATTTTAGTCAAACTGTTTTAATATGTAATTTTTTTTAAACATGAATTAATACGAAGTTTCCAAGGAGTTTGTTTTTAAATTTATTTGCAGTTATCCTTTGGTTTCATATGATAATTAATAGTAATAATTATATACATCGGGACAATTCTTCAATTTTATAAACTTATGCTCTGCTAATATATTTACAAATATGAAACTAAAGTATGAAAAAACTGAAATTTTGCTTTTATGGAATTAAAAAAAAAAAAAAAACTTTGTGTGGGAATTCTTAAAAACACATTAATCATAGATTTGTAGACCGGATAAAATACCAAGAACTGGTGTTGTAATTTAAATCAATTAGAATGGTGTGAGTAATAAAAGGGGTAGCAAGAAGAGCCCACACATTGCTATTGTTTCGGGATTATAGATTTTTTTAATTATTATTTTTATTTATTTTTGTTTAAGTTTTGATTATTTCAAATTTAAAAATGATTTATTATTTTTCTATTTTGTCCTTACATATTTAGAGCAGAATCTTTAAATTATTTTTATACCTTTGGCCATCAGATATTATTTACACTTGAAAATGCTCTATAGTTTTTTTTTTTTTTTAAGAATTTTTAAAGATTGACTAATCTTTTATCCCATTATATGCCGCATCACTATCATGTATATGTCTTGGTTGTAAAATGAATGGGTTAGTCTCTAAATAATTTCTTGTGTATATATCAGTACTAATGCGGATGATTTGTGTCCCCAAGCGTATAGAAAATAAGTGAGATCTGAGTTCCTTAAAAGAGGATTTAATATATGAAATTATTTATTTCTAAAATGATAGTAAAAATCAAATTCAACGATCCCATGGAAAGAAATTTCTAAATCTCCGTTATTGAACGAGAGGTTTTAGTTGGTATTTAAAATGAGACAAAATCGACAAATGAAATTGGAAAATTTTTATTTCGTGTTTTGAATCGGTGTAGGAGAGATCTACCCCGTTCTGATTACCATACAAGATTATATTAGATTATTTTCTTTGATTTGAATAGATACCTGCAGCTGAGAAGTCAATTCCTGAGAAGTCCGGATGATCAACGTCCATTGAGTATTTTTTATTTTCATTAAACGGTCACTTCATGAATAACGGCTCCATTACGTCAGTTGTGGATTTTTGTCCAACAAGTCACTAGTTCCATGACCTTTCCACACTCCAAAGAAAGAAATGGGATGCATTTTTCCTAACCGGATCCACCGATGTGTCCTTGTCATCCATAAATTCCTCTTTGTAATTTCTTGATGGCAATGTGAAAACAAGCTCAAATAAACAAATAATAACTTCCTTAAGCAGTTGATATACCAAGGGAAAACAAAACACGAATTAGCAAAATGTGATTATGTCCTCCAAGTATAAAAAAACTTTTGACTTGACCCCCCTATCACTATTTTCTTCAGTGTTACCCTTAACTTATTAAGATCTTTCATATTTTGTCTTTGTGGCCATGAAGCTATTATTTTACATATTAGATTATAGTTGTATGCGATTGTCAAGTGGTTCGGTTTTGCAATATATGTTAGTATTTGACTCCCTTAATATAATGTTAATTAATATTATAGGATTTTACTAACTTGAAATATCACAAATAGACATAGAGGTAGTTTTGTAATTATATTAAATGTCAAGGTTCCTTATTTCTGTATATCTATCTATAAAATTTGTGATTCATTATATCTCCTTTTATTGGTATTTTTAAAATTCAAATCAGGAGAAAAATCTAAATCTTTTTTTATAAAATTACCATTGTGGATTATTAAGGTTAATGCCTAATTTTCTTAATATAAATTAATAAAAATTGAAAAAAAAAACATAATTTGATAAATTTAACGATTTATTCACAAAGTTATAGATGAAAATAATTTTGATCGGTTGACTGTAATGTTGAAGCAAATAGTAGTGAGAGACCAAACCAAAACCTACTCAATAATGGATGGGGAAGTTTTTATGGTTTTTCCAAGTAATTAAGATCATGCTTGAGTCACATTTTAGATTATTAATGTCCACCTTCATATTGATTTCCTTTTCATTTTCTCTATTCTTCATTCTTGTAGAAGTTCATCCATGACAAAAGGTAAACAAAATTAAAAATATACAACCATATTATACAGAAACAATATTGGGATCTTGTTGAATATTATTATCGTAATATATATAACTTATAACTAGTAGAATTGGACCTGAAGGAGAAGTTTATATTTATCAGAAGAATAATATTGTTATTATCTTATGAAGATTATTCTTTTTTATATTTATATATGTTTCAAAATATTTGTTTGATCAAAATTTTTAATATTATATATTTTTTAAAATATTCTTATTTTATAATGCAGGATTAAATTGAATAGACTTTTTCTTAAAACAATTTTTTTATATAAAAATATTAATATAACATTATAACATTGTAAATTAGGATTATGGTTTTCAGACACAGATAGTAATACAAAGATCAATGCAGATATGCCAAGATCCACACAATTCCAGTCCTCGTGCCTCACGCCACCATTCACCTAATCATTGATTTGGTATATTCAACTGAATGTAATAAATTATTTCGAGTGCAGTTTTAATATTCGAATTCAAAAAGTTAAAAATCAAATATATATACCTTCTCTACAAGTTAATTTTTTTTTTAATTTTAATTTATACAAGTTAAAAAGAAATTAATCTAGCTTGTTATATTGAAACTGACATAACGATACACCTCACCCTAGAATCGAGTTAATTATAAATCATTTTCTCTAGTTTAGTGATTCAAATTAATTAGTCTCTCGGGTTTGAGATATAATTTAATAATTCTTGTTGTTTCGTATCTTGTTAATTAATTAATCCTTTCATAACTACTTGGTTATTTAATTAGTCCCTGAAGCATAAGAAACAATTTAATAGTCAATGTAGTTTTACATTTTGTTAATTAATTAGTCCCTCAATGATTTGAGAAACTATTCATGGCGGCAATAACCACAAAATAGAGAAATTGCAGGAAAGAGAGAGAGAGAGAGAGAGATCACTCTCTATATCTCTGAAAACAAAAAGGAGAAAATGAAAATAAAAGAGAAGGCAATGGTATTTATGTTCGATTATACTAAGTAAACAGTTGGAATGATCCATCCATTATTTTTATGAATTTAGACTAATTAATTTATTTCACTAAACCAGAGTGACTAATTTATAAAATCAACTCCCCCGAATAAAAAAGAAGCATCGATTAGAGCATAGAAAAGCCGATTTGGGTACGAATTTAATGTCGGATCAGGGTGGGGCACCATCCTTTTTTTTCAACGGAGAAGACAAATCGGGCGACCTCGTACGATGGTCGGCCGATTTCGTACGCTTTACGTGTTGTCTTAGAGCGACATCGCACGGTGTTACAATATGCCAGCTTGCACGAAAGCAAGCCAGGAAAATGCATTAAACATGCCAACAAACACTTTGAAATAACTTAAATTCGCAGACTTCAAGAACAGATGGCGCTACCCAACTTATCAGTGGAATAAAGGTTTGCTTCGTCAAATCAATTAACAAAAAACCGACATTGACGTGTGTTCCCTAGAGTGATGGTGAGTGGGGAGTTCTTATTTTATTCAGAAATTGCATGGAAACGGGTAACAAGAGAAAAAGACCATGGGAGATTGGGACAATTTCACTGCCGCGTAGTTCGAGAATGTCAAATCAATACCCCTGTACGTTTTAAACGTTAATCAGTTAACCTCTTTGTCGGTCCCCATTGATCAAACTAATGGAATAGAGGTTTTATCGATTTTTAAACTTTTGAAATTTCATCAAATAAATCCCTTTTAAAATTATTGATGAAAATAAATATTTTATTTCCAATTAAAATGTATAAATAGTTCCATGCGTATCATTAAATTTCAGATAAAACACATTTCAATTAAGTTAATATATATTGGAATATTTAATAATTGTTGTTATATCATCATTCTAGTTTTGTTTTGCTAATAATTATTTAGTTTTATTAATTGTGAAACTATTTTATTTTTCTCTGTTTTTTTAATCTAAACCATCCCAGAAGAGGATAAATATTATATTTTTTTTATTTTTTTAAAATATAAACGGTACTCGTAGCATTGTTTATACCTTTTAATTGGAAGTGAAAAATTGCTTTGACATAGTTATTTTAAGAGGGACTTGTCTGATAAAATTTCAAACAGTTAGGGATTGAAAAAACTTGGTTTGTATGGATTGCTATTTTAAGTCTCTATTTGTGTCGAACATTTTCCCCCTTTTGCTGGGATGGACTTTTTTTTGCATCTTGAAACTTACAAAATTTAAAAACTCGAGGGAGTGATCATTAAAAAATGAATGGCTAGGTTACAAAAAAATAATTTTTTTTTTTTTAAGATTTAGCTGGATTCTATAAAATACAGAAGCTATATATTTTACATGAATAAACGGCTCCATTACGTCACCGTGGAATATATTATGTTCATCAAACTGTTACCATGGCTCCGTTACGTCAATTGTGGATTTGGCCCACCAAGTCACTACTTCCACAACCTTACCACACTCCAAAGAAATTGGACGAATAAAATTAAAATTTAAAAATTTGAGC